GGGCGCGCTGCGAGCCGGGCGCCGCCTCCTCCCCCCGCCCCTCCGCCCGCCCTCCGCCCGGTGCCGCTCCCGGGCTGCGGCGGGACCGCCCCCGGCAGCGCTCGCCCGCATTGCACGGCCCCGGTACCGGCCGCACCGCGCGCCGGAGCCGCCGGCGGCGCTCCCGTTCTCCCGGGGGGGGCGTTCCGAGAGCAGCGGGCGCGGGGCTCCCTGGGCTCCGGTGCTCCCTGGGCTCCGGGGCTCCCTGGGCTCCGGTGCTCCCTGGGCTCCGGTGCTCGGCCAACTTCCTGGCGGAGTTGCCGTGAAAGGGCTTTGCCGGACAATGACTCCCCGCGGGGGTCCCCGCGCCGCCGCCCGCTCCGCACCGGCTTCGGCATCACCGAGGGTTCCCCCGTCGCCTTTTCGCAGCTTTTCAGCTCCGTGCTGCAGCGATTCCTAAGAACCTGTTGGAGTGACGTGTGGATACAGGGAAACCCGAGAGCTCCTCGTGCACCCGTTAATTTCCCAGAGATTTTAACAGCGAGCTGTATCTCTCTGCACGTCCTCTCCATTCTGTGCCTTGAACTTGCCAGACACTTGCACTTGGCATTTTATCGGTTTTTTAATTCTTCATGCTGTTGTAGATGTACAAAAAACTTCAGTTGGTTTTTTTTTTTTTTGATAGCAGGAGGCTGGTGAAGTTCAGGCAGCTTTAAAAGTATGAGTGTGCTTGGTGTCTGCTTAACTGAATCCTGTTTTTTCTGCCTTTCCCTGGCCTGGGTACAGAATGAGTTTTAATAGTTGTTATTTGTGCAACTATACACGTGTGTTCAGTGCACGGGTGGCAAGGTTACATCCCAAAAGAAATCCGTTTATTTGGACCACTGAAATGGGGCAAAGTAACTTGTTTCAGCGCTATTTTAAACTAATTATCAATGGCATCTTGAGCTGTGCCTGGATTTTCAATCTCCCACGCTGTCCAGAGGAATCTAAACCTGGGCTGTGTGCTAAAGCATAGCTTAAGACTGACCTAACACCTCATGTTTTTCTTCCAACTTGTCACTTTCAGTTGTGCTAAAAGGTTTGGGGTCAGTAAACAAGTGGGAAATGCCCAGCTTAATTCAGTACAAATCTATCTGCACTGCAATCTTCCTAACTTGCAATTATTTAAGAAAATACAGTTTCAGAGAGGTATGCATTATTCTATAGGATTAACAGTACAGTATTTTCAGTTAGAATGTGATTTTGTTTTAATATAGTAATTTTAAAGTACCCGTAAAAATTCCTTCATCACATAAAAAAAAGTATCTTGGCAGCCTGGTGTCAGTCTGTGCTGGATCTCTGGGGACAGAAAAACACTTTTCAGGGTCTTTTTTCCCTGACCAGGTGAAGTTAGCAGTTTTTCACACTGGTGTGCTCTTTGCAAAAGGAAACTCTGCTTCCTCACCCAGGGTATCTCATCCTCATCCCTCCCACCTTCTGCTGAAGACACGTGGTCTCAGCTTTAATTTGTTTGAGTTGCTTCAATGTGATCTTTCACCGAAGCAAAACGGCTCTAATTTGCTCAAGTTTGGGGAAACTCTGGACGATTTAGGCTGCTTTTGTGAGCAGTGTGGGGAAGGGGATGCTCTCCCCCTGCCCTGAGCTGGGATTGCCGTGGGAGCCCTCTGCACAAGGCTCCTGGCACACGTGGGTCTTGGAGCTGGGAGCATCGTGTTGGAATTGGCAGGCGGATCATTTACGTTTCCAGGATTTATGAATCGTTTTCTGTCCAGATTGCTGTTCTGGTCTTCTCCAGCATTGGAAAACTTTTATGGCTGTTAGAGCTGGAGCAGGAAGAGCCCCATAATAGCTGTCACTTCAGCCCGTGGTGCGCTTTTGGGGATGTGTTGCTCTTTTCCAACCCCGCGGGATCTCGTCTCTTTTTATTTGGATG